TGACATTTGGTCTTCAGTTTGTAAAGTATATACAGGGGCAGAAAGCTAACAGCAAAAGCTGAGTCCGTTTATCTGCAGTGTGATGGGTTTATTCAAGATAAGCAAAACAGGACAATTACTGTTTAAGAGCAGCAACTGGCTTGAGTTTCATCAGAATATCATCTTGTTCAGAGTCATGGCATAGGCATGAGCCATACTAGTGCTATGAAAAAATGCTGTTCGGTCAGAATAAAGCAATGAGTGCAAATGCACATGAGCTATGATCAGTGAAGCTGGAATTGCCACTCAAGACCATAAGCCTCAAACCAAGATAAGTCAGTAGTCAAGCCAGGATTAGGCCATTTTCTCTTATTTCTACCCAAGCAGGTGGAAATCACCACACTGAGGTCCAAAAGTTGTCTCTATCAAGCTAGGATTAATCCAGATAAAGGTTTTTTAAATTCCCAGGGTCATTAGCTCTTCAACAGATTGAAGGCTAGGGCCATACATGGGCTTCTTACATTAGCAACAGTTAAAAAAAAAAAAAAAAAAAAAAAAAGCTAATTTGCTCCATAGATTGTCTATTTCCTCAAGGGCACAGAAGAAAGGCTTCATGAAAAAGATTTTGACTCATACCTCAAGTATTTATGAACTGAACAGTTATCTAGAAATAGGTGGCACAGAATTACTTAAAGCACATGATGAATGGCTTCCTTAACCCCTATTTATTTTCCTTTTCTTGGTTCTCGATCTTCATTTCTGTTTTGCCTATTCTGCTGGCTCACACCGTATCTTGAGTTCCAATCTCCTTTCCATATCCCCATCTCCATTTATTAGGAATGAACCATGAACCCCTCTGGTTAAAGAAAAGTCCTGCCCAAACACATCAAGAAAATTCCCATCTGCCTTAGGCATGAACCACTAGGAATTTATGATCTGTCATGCAATGGAGCCAACTGTGCTGTTTTTGTCTCTCTATCCTTTGAAATTCTTTGTAATAACCCAGAGATCTGCCATTTGGGAAACTGATGGCAACTGACACCCCCTGCTGGTGTCAAGTATCCACAATCCAAGCATTGTAAAGGGTGGTTTGCATATTTTCACTTCTCCAAACAACCTCATAAAGTAACAAGTAGAACCTTCATTTTACAGGTAAACAGGTTCAGAGAGTTAAGTAAGGTCACACAACCAGTAAGTTGCAGAACTAGGATTTGAACTTCTCTAAAGCCTGCCTGTGTCCCATGTATAAAAGAAAAACAGTTTCAAGTCTAACTAGGCGCCAAGGTCACCAACCCCTCACATCTTCTGTTAACACATCTTCTGTAAACCAGTAGTCTAGGCACTCACTAGGTTCCTTAAGACGGAGCTGGATGGCAGGGCTGTCGCTCTTGTCTCGCTTTATGCCCAGCACTTCCCGCTCCCACTCCCTCTCTCGGTTTTCTTCTTCGATCTGCCGTTCTGCTTGGGAACAAATCCGCAGAAGTCTCAAGCAAAGAATCTGGTGCAGTCGCATAAAGATGTACCAGTTGTTATTAACATAGAAGAGGTTGTACACTTCATCCATCCCTCTTAGCTTCTGTGCTGTTGTGTTGCTAAACAGTAGCTTGGACTTGGGGGAGCTGCCCCCAACCCCATTGTGCTTCTTAGCCACCCCTGTGGCCTCATCTACATCCATCTCTTCTTCTTCCTCTTCTTCTACATCAGAGAGATCACCCCTCTGAGCAAAGAGCAGATCTGGAATGAAGTGATGCATGATCTGCTTGATTTTATACTTGTCCTCCTTCTGAATGCCTGTCTGTCTCTTTACGTGGTGGATAATCAGGGCAGCAGCGTCCTCCAGGATCTGCTTGTCTTCATAGGCCAGAGAGAGGTGTGGGCCGGCAGGTACACTAGCATTTTCTTCAGTGGCCTGCTCTTGCCTCTACCAGGAGAGAGAGACGAAGCAGTAAGTGTCATGTCCATAGCAACAACCTACCAGCACATTTAATTACAATATTAACTATAGTGACTATTATTTTTCCAATCCAAAACTTCTAGGAACAATAAGGTAATGTGGAAGATGTGGTTTGAGAACAAAATATTGGTACCTTCTAGACTTTGAAGACTGATAGGGGACATTGGGACAATCTTCTAAAATTCTGAATTAGCATTTATGGAGGAAGCAGTCAGTATGAGGTCTAGGATTCACTCTAAAGTACTTCTGGGGTGAAAGTGCAGAAAGTGTTTGATATAAAAACATTGACAAAATAGGAATTATTATTTAAATTTACGTAAGAGCTCACTTTATTATTTTCTCCCCTTTCATGTATATTTGACATTTGCATGATAAAAAGCTTTTTAAAATTGAAGACCACATCACTTCTAGGAATTCTCAACCACACTACATTTATGTCTCTATCCATCCCCTAAGACTGTGAATTTAAAGAAAACAGGATTACTTTCTTATTCATCTCTTATCCTGAACTACATAGAAACTTCGTAAGTATGCTGAATAAACGAGGATTAGAAAGAGTTTGTTATCAGTGAGAAGAGTTTAAGCAGTGGGAAGCTGAGGCAACCCAATCAAACACAAGGCACTCAAGCAGTGAATGGGGAGAAGTGGGGCTGTCAACTGAAACCAGGAGGGTAAACTAGGAAACCAGTAAGACAGCTAAGGTAGAAAGGTAAGGTTAAGAGTTAAAATGTTAGAATCATTAATAGAAGCTTATGACAGTTATGAAGCAAGAATCAAGAAGTCTTAGAGGGTTTTGCTTTCATATAACAACTAGAGGCCTAGCGCACGAATTCATGAACAAATGGCGTCTCTCAGGGTGGTCTGCGGGGATTGGGCCGAAACCCACAGTCCAATGCCTCCTGCAGCTCCTACCTGCAGCTCCTATATGCTAAGTGTCCAGTCATCCGGTGGCTGGTCAACTGTGAAATAAATATGCTACTGATATGCTAAGCCCCACTGTGCCTGCTGTGGGCTCACACCTAGTAAGTCTTGATCTGGAGAGGCTCCTGCTGCCACAGCAGGGCTCACCAATCTGGCACCCTCCTAAGGAGAGTGCTCTGCGGGATTGGGACTAAACCGGCTCTCCAAGATCCCCCGAGGGATCCTAGATTGTGAGAGGCACAGACCAGGCTGCGGGACCCCACTGGTGCATGATTTGGGCTGGGGAGTTACGGCGGGAGGGCTCTAGGGGGTGTCTGGCCCATCTCGTTCAGTCCTGATTGGCCGGACCCCAGCAGCAAACTAACCTACCAGTTGAAACATCTGGTGGTCAGTGCATGTTATAGCAACTGGTCAACTGTCTGCCCCTAGTGGTCAGTGCATGTCATAGCGACTGATCGACTGCCTCATGGTGGTCAGCGCACATCATAGCAAGCAGTTGAGCGGCCTTAGCATATCAGTAGCATATTACACAGTTGACCAGCCACCGGATGACCGAACACTTAGCATATTAGGCTTTTATTTTAAAAGATGGTAATTTCCAGAAATCAAAGCTATGCAGAATACAAAGATTGGAGCCCTCTCACAGGTGTAGAAACTTCCAGCTCACCTCATCATAGATACTCTCAATCTCGTTGAGTAAGCTCTTAGACCTTAGGACCTTGGTGTCATTCTGTTTAAAGTTGATACCCTGATGGTCCAGAGACTTCAAGTAGTATTTCTCATTTTGCTCTCTCCACACCTTGTTAAAGCCCCTCTGAGCTTCTCGCCATTCTTCCTCTTTCATCTTCAACCTAGTTGGGTATGAAATGGGGTGGAAATGCACGTATAAGTCAAAACTATTTGGAATGGAATCCTGGCTTTGCTATACCAGTGAAATAGGGATAACAACACCTAACCCACACCTGAAACCTATATAATCATGTTGAGCAATGTCACCCCAATAAATTTAATAAACAGATAGATAGGTATGACAGGCCTGTCAAAATTATTGGCGACTTCAGATAAATGTTATTCAAACCAGTCTTTAACTTGTTACATGAGGAAATTACTCATTCAGGATTTTGGGGAAATGATTTTCCCCAAAGTCAGAAATCCTACCTAGAACAGTATTTCTCAAACAGCATTCCATAGAAAATTCTTAAATATTCTCATCCTTGACCAGCTAACATATATTTAAAGAAGTTTCTTTGATACAGAACCTCTAAGAATGTTTACTATGCAAACATAAATGCAAAAGTCCAAGAGTAGAGAGCCTGCATTGTAATGTTCCTTTTGACACAGTTTGGGAAGTTCTGATGAGAACTGATCCTAACTTCCAGAAGAAGAGAGAATAGTAAAATAAAAAACAACATGGAAACTGAAGAACATTCTACATCTCAAAGCTAAGATTTAAATACTTCTGGTAAAGAGAGAAATTATCTGTGGTAGTATCCGAGGGGAAGACTAGGGAGAGACACTAAATTGGGACATCTGTGCAGCAGACAAGAATTCCTTTTCACCAGGTAATACTGGAAGAAACTGGCTCTGGCCCCCTCCTTTGATGGGCACAAAAGCCCCTCTACAACTCAGGCTGAAGGCTTATTAGGAGAAAGAAAAAGACATTCTTGGTAGCAAGGTATTCTTAAGTCTTTTTGAATAATATTTATCAATTTTACAAAAACAAAGGGTGCCGAAACCGGTTTGGCTCAGTAGTAGAGTGTCGGTCTGCGGACTGAAAGATCCCAGGTTCGATTCCAGTCAGGGGCATGTACATTGGTTGCGGGCACATCCTCAGTAGAGGGCGTGCAGGAGGCAGCTGGTCGATGTTTCTCTCTCATCGACGTTTCTAGCTCTCTATCTCTCTCCCTTCCTCTCTGTAAAAAATCAATAAAATATATTAAAAAAAAAAAAAAAGACAAAGGGTGACTCTTTTTAAAAACCAAAGATAAGGGTAAATACTGAACAGTAGGAGCATGGGTGGTGATTTTCTTCTTTGTTCTTTTTTGTACTTTTTTATGGCCTTAAATATAGTGTATTCCACCATGGATTTTCAAGGTTTGCCCTGTACTGTTGATTACACAGAACCTCATCAAGAAGCTCCACCAGCTTGCTCAATTTGGCAGCATATATACTAAAATTGGAATAATATGAAGATTAGCAGGGGCCCTGTGCAAGGGTGACACACAAATTCATAAAGTGTTGTGTGTGTGTAGTTTTAAGAAGCTCCACTATGTCACACTATACCTGACTTTCAATAACCGGGGTGGGGAGAAATGGGGGTCTCATGGGATAACAAGGTAAAAAAATGAGCTTTATTTAATGGTACACCAACTATGTCCTGAAGCACAGGAGAGCACGAAGGGCACATTTGTTTGGATACCTTTTAAGTACAATGGGGACAGCAATGGAGGGGTTCTTCCTCAGACCATCAATGATGTCAGCTGCTTTGTCAGCATATATCCTCTGGAGTGCTTTTCGATGTATAACTTCTGATGTGCCCCCTAGGGTGTTGTCCAAGCGAAATTTGGCTTGTTCCTCAGCAGACAAACGGGAAAGCTTCTTCTGTATTGCTTCCAGAACCCGGATTGTTGCCAAATTGGTCTCTAAAACTACATCAAGCTAAAGAAAAAGACAAAGTGTGCTCAGGACCCAAATCAGAATAGAATAGTAGTTAGGTATATAAGGTGAGGAGTCAAACTCCCTGGACTGGAATCCTGGCTCTGCCGTAAAAGCCACAGAAGGCTGTTTTCTTACAAGTAGGGATAATAGTTACTCTTAAAAGGTTGTTTTCTGGATCAAACGATACAATCCATATAAATGGTTTTGTGCAATGCCTGGCACATAACATCAATAAATGATGACTATCCCAAGCCGGTTTGGCTCAGTGGATAGAGCATTAGCTTGCAGACTGAAGGGTTCTGGGTTCGATTTCAATTAGGGGTACATACCTCGGTTGCAGGCTCTTCTCTGGCTTGGGTCTTAGTCAAAGCGAGTGTAGGAGGCAACCAATTGATGTGTTTCTCCCACATCGATATTTCTCTGTCTTTCCCTCTCTCTCTAAAAATCAATGGAAAAATATCCTTGGGTAAGGATTAAATAAATAAATAAATAAATGATGAATAAGTGGTAGTCATTACTTCTACCACCACCACCAATGGGCTTGGCTTAGGACTACTAACCCTACAGTAGAGGGACTTAATAGGAAGCAACCTTACAGACACTTTTCCTGAGCTTTTCTGAATTGTTAAAATGCTCCTCCCTGGCCCAGGCCCTAGTCAGGGCTTGTGCAGGAGACAACCAATCGATGTGTTTCTTTCACACAGATGTTTCTCTCTGTTGTTCCCTCTCTCTTTCTCTCTCTAAAATCAATGCAAAAATATCCTCAGGTGAGGATTAAAAAAACACACACACTCAAAAAACCATAACTCCAAAAATACCATTCAAGATGATAACTCTCAGTCTCATGAAAAAGGTTTTTCAGGGTAACTTGAAATATTTAAATATTTTATAGCCTTGTTCACATTCAGTAGTAATAACAGAAGAAATCATCATTCTTTAAGGATTTCAATGTTGTATGTGTAGGTACCCATTTAAATTCTTACTGAAACTCCTGCAACTTATTTTTTGACAAGGGCCTAGTCTGACCTAGTTTAGGATATGACTGGCATCCTTTGAGTTAACTTTTTTCCTAGTCTTAACACAAGATTCTCTAAATAAGAAACAAAGTGAAGGAACAGTCTCAAGGGCCTATGACAAAATGTCTGTAGAAGTTTCTCTAAGTTTTAAGTCATTTTGCCAAATATTTCTGGTCTTCCCTCCCGAAATTTTGGACAAAAGATGGGATTGAACTTCCTGGTTCTCTTACGATCAGATAGGGCTACATAACTAATTCTGGCAAATGAGTTATGAACAGGTAGGTCAGAATACTGATTACTTCCAGGCTAGAGCATTTAAAGGTGCAACGCCCCTCTGAGCAATCTTTTTCCTTCCAGTGACTGGCATTGTTCAAGATGGTAGCACTCTGTCAGCCTGGGACCATGAGTAATTCTGATGAGTAGAATATCCCACTAAACATCAATGTACATGTAACAAGACCAAGGAATAAATCTGTTTCTTAAAGCCACCAAGATTCGGGGAAGGAGGGGGTTGCCTATATTGTAGGATCACTTACCTATCCTGATGTATAAAAGGAACGCTCCTTGAAAACCACTGTACTAATAAGAGATTTTCAGAAAGGAACACTCCTTTTAACTAGCCCATCCCACCAAAGCCTAAACATACGTACACACATAGACACACACACACTCTTACTACTGTCACCTTTATTCCTATTACCACTAATAGGAAATGAGACTGTCGCCTCTCCTTTGCTTGCATACCACTTGAAAATAAAAAAAAAGATGCTAACCTCTGCTTTCTAACTCATCTCACCTTACTAAACATAGGTATCAAAGAAATGCTTTCTTTAGCCTGATAAAACTTTCCATGGAAGTCACCATCTATCAAGATTTAGTTCTCTGCAAATGGCTGAAGGCTCCTCATAAACCCTGGAGCAGAGGCCAAGCAACACCTGGCTCTTCATTCAAAACATGCCAGAGACAACTGGAGTGAGTGAGGGGGATAACTGGCAGAGGGATAAATTAGTATGAGCTAACAAAGAGCAAAGTATCACCCATCTTCAGGGATAAGCAGGGTCAGTTAAGTTTTATATAATAAATACATTAAATAGGATACATATAATTTTTCCTCTTTAGACACATTTAACATGCCCCTTTTTTTTTTAAATTGATTTGAGAGAGTGGAAAACATGGATTGGCTGCTTTTGGCACATGCCCCTACCAGGGACTGAACCTGCAATCAGGGCAGGTGCCCTGACCAGGAATTGAACCACCACCTTTTGCTCCAACCGAGCTACACTGCCCAGGGAAAAATATTCCCTTTTTTTTTGCTGATAATATCATGGAGATTCAAAACCCATTTTCAGTATTCCCACTTCTAGCATGGGGGCTCTATCAGATCATTTATTCACTCAAGCCCTTCCTAACTACTTTAAAATAAAATACCTAATTTAACTTTCTTTCAAAGGGAGCCAACCACATCCATATCAGAACGATGAAAGAAGAATTCCAGTTCCCATAGGAGAGCTGGTTTGCTAACCACCTGCTAAGAATAACAATATGCTTTAAAATAAATAATTTCCAACAGCTTCAAAAAAGCCCAGTAGGCCTTACTACAGTCCTAAGTTTTTATATACCTTTGTAAAATATAATAATCTTTAAAATGCCATTCAAATTAGCCCTAGCTGGTTTGGCTCAGTGCATAGAGCGTTGGTCTGTGTACTGCAGGGTCCTGGATTTGATCCTAATCAAGGGCCCATGCCTGGGTTTTGGGCTCAAACCCTAGTGGGGGGCATGCAGGAGGCAGCTGATCAGTGATTTTCTCCCCTCATTGATGTTTCTATCTCCCTCTCCCTTCATCTCTGAAATCAATAAAAGCATATTAAAAAAAAAAAAAAAGACCTTGCAATTTATTTTTAAAATAAGCAAATTATTATTCAGCTATCAATTGGTAATTTCGATTAAAAGGGTTAAAGTGGCCTAAATAAGTCACATTTGCCATTAAAATATTACTAACATATTTGACAAACTCTTAAAGTATGATAAGTACAACAAGCATTTACCATAAAAGAACATGAACCTCGACTCTTTAGTCTTAAGTCAACCCTCACAGATAAGTATTTAAGATATATTATTTAGCATCTCCCATTGTCCCAAACTTCAAATAATCAAGGAGACTTTACCTCAAAGCGTTCATCTTCACAACGATAGATATGTTCTTCATACTGAGTTTTCTTGGAACTAACAAAGGTGGAGTCTTCAGACCAGGAAGGAAAGGAAACCCAGGTATCATTTAAAACCTTTGGATAATAAAAGAGAAATTGAAACAAAAGTGTAACAAAGCTTTCTGGCAAGTAAATATTCTCAATAAAAAGACAAATTTTAAAAGAATCATTTAGCATTACAAGCTTCCTCTTTAGCAAGTATGCAAAATATATTAGAATAAGGAAAAGGTTCTAAATATAAGCGTAAAACATTAAAACCGAAGGGTTCCGGGTTTATTAAAAAAAATGTTTATTACAAAATGTTTTGCTCAGTGGAGAGAGCCTCGGCCTGCAGACTGGAGGGTCCCACGTCCAATTCCAATTAAGGACACATGCTCCGGTTGTGGGATTGATCCCCAGTAAGGGGCGTGCAGGAGGCAGCCAATCAATGATTCTCTCATCATTGATGTTTCTATCTTCCTCTCTGAGATCAATAAAAATATTTTTAAAAATTAGAGAAGGGTCTTGATTTCTTCAGTGATATAAATTCTTGATCCCTAGGACCATTCCCTTCCAGAGAAAGTTGAGGTTTCAGGATTGTTCCTTTCTGGGGAAGGCCTTACCTCTTTACAGAGAGGAGTCCGTCCTGTACACTTAGGCTGCTGATAACTCTTTGGGAGGGCTCGGTAGCTGGAACCCAACCGTTTACAAGAAGCATAATCTATTTCCATGGCAATGCCCTCTGTAGCTCGTTCCTTTGGAAAGGTTTCCAAATGTACAGACTCCTTATAGCCCAGAAAGTTTTTAAACCAATTAAACAATTCAGGGAATTTCCTAAAAAATCAAACCAAAAACTGGTAAGCAATTAATTAGAAGCATTATGCAGTTATTTTGAGATATAAGTACCACTATTTGGTATTAGGTTAGAACTCTGCTAACAAGAACAAAGCCCAATCATTGCTTCTAAGCATTTGGCTTCCCCTTTTCTTACAGAGTGCTTTACAGTCAGATAAGGTGGTGATAGAAGACTGCACAGAAATCAGATAGAGCCAACTATTATTCTAACCAAGGATATTGTTTCAGTATTAAGATCATTTTTAGGTTGTCAAATACAATCAGGATTCTAGAACCCTGAAATAGACTGGTCTCTACCACTAGTGCTAGCCAATGGCCTATTTTTTTTCAGCTTTATAGTTGAAATAGAAGAATTCCCATAAGCCGAAACCGGTTTGGCTCAGTGGTAGAGCGTCAGTCTGCAAACTGAAAGGTCCCAGGTTCGATTCTGGTAAAGGGCATGTACCTTGGTTGCGGGCACATCCCTGGTAGGGGATGTGCAAGAGGCAACTGGTTGATGTTTCTCTCTCATCGATGTTTCTAGCTCTCTATCTCT